ACTCTGAGTAAATCTATGCAACCGCCAAACAAAGCAGTAGTACGGCACCCTATGTCGGTTTCGCTCATGCATGACTCATCAGAGATCAAAAAGCCATATCGAAAAGTGTTCATATCCCATAAACTACAGCAAAGAGTACATGAATTAATAAAGTCATTCGTAAAGTTAACAATTCACCAATACCAGGATGATTAATTAGTACCAATTCATTGACGAGCTCAAATAGTGACAACCAGATATACATACGAAGTGAATACTTCTATCATTTCATAAAACAATAGCATTTGATTCCCATCGTTTCACCTGAACTTTGACCAAATTAAATCGTCTTTCCCCGGCGCTGTTACATTCCAAATCAATCTGGTTGAAATCAGCAGTATTCTTTCCATATATGTATACAAACCGGAAATCTAAATCCGTTTAGATACAACATCAAATTTTGTTTAAAATGGAATCTTCTTGTATTCCTGGAGTGACAAGTTAGTATTTGTTTATCATATTGTATAGTTTAGCTGTCATGTTCGATCAGTTCCACTAGAACTTTATCAAACAAGCTATCAAACATCTCTCAACACTGTCAGAGTTGTCTCCCTTCAACAACTCCAGTCAAGCTATCAAACATCTCTCAGCACTGTTGTCTCCCTTCAACAACTCCAGTCAAGCTATCAAACATCTCTCAACACTGTCAGAGTTGTCTCCCTTCAACAACTTCAGTCAATACATTTTCTGTTTGAACAGATTTCATGGATCCTGTTTTATTAACATTTACTTCAACATTTACATCATTACACTTGCACACGTTTTTCACGAGATTTGTTTGGTGCCACACGGATTGGTCACAGATAAACATTCACCAGAACGTATGGGCCTTGATGCAGTGTTGGAAGATACTACACTGTAATATAACACTATAATTATTAAAAAATATAAGAATCTGTTTGAAACGTTTGCTTATAGATACAGAAAGCCAAGCTATGAACAATCTTTTGCACCATATGGCCATTTCGTTCATTTATGACTCATCAGTAGAAATAAGGGTATAAAGAATGAAATATCTATGTCTAAAGTGCTCTGAACCATATACAGGATACAGAGAAATGATAATGTGTACTAAGTACACATATTTTTTAACATAAAAAAAATAAAACGTTTGGCTTAAACAGATCATTTACTCTTAAACTAGCATTACGTGTACTGTACATATGTAAACCCTGCCAAAACCTTCCCGCTGCAAGGTTGAGACAGCCCTCGGGTAACGATAGTCCACCAGACAAACAAAACCTTCCCGCTGCAAGGTTGAGACAGCCCTCGGGTAACGATAGTCCACCAGACAAACAAAACCTTCCCGCTACAAGGTTGAGACAGCCCTCGGGTAACGATAGTCGACCAGCCAGGCTGAGACAGCCCTCGGGTAACGATAGTCCACCAGACAAACACCTTGTTTCGTAAAATACCAGTAATCACTAGAAATATAGGGAAATGAGATGAAGCAACCATCTGACATTTTATTGATAGATACCAAAAGTAAAACAGTGAACATTTTAACTGCAATGTGTGGCTATATCGACCGCTTAGGACTCGTCAGTGTTTCGTTCCTGTATCACAGGGAAACAACATTAGGATTCATTTACAAATGCGGTTGTATAGATTTTTAATTTATGATACTCATTTTGAAGGTATCGATTATTGTCCACAAAGAGTCTCATTCCTTTCGGCCATGTCATGTCTCTAGATATTATAGTCTTCAGACATGTTGTAGTACATTTATCAGTCTGGATACATTCTAAGCTAAATTGTTACGGTGTATGCATGCACGATGTGTGGAGGAAAGGTCAAACAAAATATGCCGAAATAATTACAGAGCAAGCATATCGAAGAGCCTATTCCCAGTGTAAAAATTGTCTCGGAAAATTCATCCTGTTGATCTGTTCAACGAACATGTTCCTGGAGTTAATGCCGGAAAGCCTCCAATGTTCACTGGAGAGAAGTATGCATTGTTGATTTAAGGATGGGTAGTGACCTTACAATACATTCCCGGATTAACGGGAGAACGGGTCCACATGTGGTGGGAGGAACGCTTACCCTCATCCTGTAGTTTCCTGTGCTTGTGAAGATGTGTAATGTATTTCTTAAATAAATTTAAAAAAATATATATATTGTTGTGTTACCTCGATCATTGAAAATTTTCATGAAATGTGTCACTTAGATTATTGATTGTCTTAGTATCAACTTCGAGTTTCTCTCTTTTCACTGTGTGTTGATGCTGTAAAGTACCCACTTTTGACCAGCCTTTACAACGATACAAACACACAGTAACATATAAACAGTGTTTTAAAGCATGAACTTTCTGTGATTAGGTTAACAGATTCGATCTACTCTGTACTTATCACATGATTTTTTTGTTTGTTTCCAAATGTAGCGTTTACATTTTTAAAGATTAACGTAACACAGACAGGTGATCGTACCTTTAAGGTTTGGTAATAGACGCAGTATGTCAAAAATGAATTATTGCATCTTACTGCATCTCAATGATATATATGACGTCGGGGTTCCTTCAAAACGGAGCATCGGTTTAGAGATTACCTGGCCGCTACTCGAGTACCTATGCACAAACACACACATTACTGGCATTGGGTCGTGTTGACACTAGGATTTCGACATTTACTACCAACTTGGTGATACGGTATCCGCCTTGCTTATGTTAGTAATTCGAGATGAGGGGATTAGTGATTTATCCATATCTATATATGGTATTTAATGCATTACTGTCTATATATGTGCCTCTGTAGATGTTGGTAGCTCTTCACATTTCTTGTAGTTCTTCCAAGCCTCATAATTGCAGACGGGTAAAGCCAATATACATTTCTTGACACCCGACGAATTATACATTTTTAATTTTTCCTTTTTCTCTTGCTCTTAGCCATTTGATCAATAGTATCAACATGATTTTTTAAAAGAAACATTATTTTTTCGGTTTTGAATAATACTTTTTTTATGAAAATTAATTTTACTCATTTATGATTGTAATACAGTTGAGCAATAACAGCATTTAATTTGGAGTTTAAACGATGAATAGGCCGCCAACTCCAATTTTAATATTGCTTTTTTATCCTATATTGTTTGACAAGCAGCTGCTATTTACAAAAAAATAACTCGAACGCAACAGGGAATCCAAACTATGTAAACTGTGGAAATGAATGACAATCGTACAGAGGTGCTCGTCTAAAGTATTCAAAACAATAACATATATTTAAGGTTGCAATATTAAATACGTAAGGAATGTTTAAACAAATGGCTATTGCAAACAGCTATTAATGTCGGCTGATTATTGCCTAGATTGCTGTATAAGATTATTTTATCATAGCTCATGTTATAGGGGAACAAATTGAAGTCACGTTGCCTTGTATGCTGCACATACAAATGGATGCGGTTTTTGTATGTTTACACCGATGAGTTTTATTTTTTGTATACACATACCTTGGCTTGTTTCTTTAAAATATTTAACATCACTAACAGACAGTAAAAGGAAACAATAACCCGTATACTTGTATGTACCACCTGATTCAAAATGTAAATTCAGTGTTGCAGTTTTAGATACAGGAGGCCCAATGGGCCTGCATCGCTCACCTGGTATAAATCTCACACCTGTAACCCTAAAAGTGATCTAAAATAAAGCTATAGGCAAAATATCAGTATTTATGATTAAAATTCATTAAAAAAAACTGTTTAAAGGTTTTAAAACATTTCACCCGTGATTTAAAGTCGAACAAGGTCATTATGTTTAACAAATTGTATAGCCTTTCATCTCAGGATGCAACTTGCAAAATATCAACATTCTGGGACAAAATGTTATTAAGAAGAGGTCGTTTAAAGATTTTAAACAAATTTGACCCCTGTGACCTTGAATATAAGTCAAAGTCATTCACTTTAACAAGCATGGTAGCCCTTGTTCCCAGCATGCTGCTGACTAGATACATGTATCAACATTCTGGGCCTTTTGGTTATTAAGAAGAAGTCGTTTAAAGATTTTGACCATATTTGATCCCTGTGAACTTTAATAAATGTCAAGGTCATTTATTTGAAGAAACTTGGTAGCCCTACATCCTATCATGTTACAGGCCTGTGACCATCATCCCGGGCCTTTAGGTTATTCAGAACAAGTTGTTTACAGGTCTTTTTTAACAATTGACTCCTGTGACCTTGAATATGAGCGAAGGTCATTCATTTGAATAAACTTGGTAGCCCTTCTGCCCAACATGCTACTGGCCAAATATCATCTACCTGGGAATTTCTGTTATTCTAAAATTGTTTAAAGTTTTTAACAATTTTGACACCTGTGACCTTGAATATGAGTGAAGGTCATTCATTTGAACAAATTTTGTAGCCCTTAATCTCAGCATGCTACTGCCTAAATATCATCACCCTCGGCATTTTGGTGATCGAGAAGTTGTTTAAAGTTTGTAACATATTTGACCCCTGTGACCTTGAATATGGGTGAAGGTCATTCATTTGAACAAACTTGGTAGCCCTTCACCCAAGCATGTTTATGGCCAAATATCATCTCCCTGGGCATTTCGGTTATTCAGAAGAAGTTGTTAAAAGTTTTTAACATATTTGACTCCTGTGACCTTGAAAGTGGGTGAAGGTAATTTATTTTAACAAACTTTGTAGCCCTTCATCGCAGTTTGCTTCTGGCCAAATATCATCACCCTAGGCATTTTAGTTATTCAGAAGAAGTTGTTGAAAGCAAAATATTGACGCCGGACGACGGACCAGGTGAGCTAACCAGTGTGACGTCATCAGTTTGCGTGTGTCTTATTGTTATGACATCAACAATTGTTGATATTTATACGTAACCATGTGTTTTTCTTATTATGACATCAGATTAGTCATTCTTCCTGCAAGAGGCGAAGTGAAGCACTGGATGAACTGTAACCCGTTCATCAATTTTGAATATCGCCATCTCTAATTCCTTACATAAAAACAAAAATAACACATGCTTACTTATAAAAACAAATTTAATAAATGACATATCACAATGACTTGAAATGGATAAAATTGAAAATGGCATGCATGAGAAATTAATTTGTATACACCTGAGGTATCACTCACGCTTTAGTCTTACGTCACATTTACCCACTCTCTGAAATACTCCTGACGTCACCAACACGTCACAGTCTCACAAGTCCATCCGACATCGCACATCTTACCACTAGCACACGTCCATATGACGTCACAACTCATCACCCTCTCACACGTCCGTCTTACATTACAACTCACCAGACACATTCTCTCTTACAACTGATCTGCACAACACCAGATACAGGTGTTTCACATTTTGTTTTCTTTTCATAACTTAACACATTCAGTTTTACCACGATCATTCACATTTTTCTGTATCTTCACATATTTTCCTTATCATCAGTCGTACAAATATATCCATCTACATTTAGTCTCTTTACATTTTCGCATTTATTCTTCATTTGGCATTTTTTAAATAAGATTTGTGTCTGAACACTTCGGTCTGAACTTTCGAAGATGTTTTGAAAAGTACCATAGATACAAGTACTAATATAATCATTTTGAGTTGATATTCAAACCCTGACCACACTTGTGGAACTTCTGTGGGTAGGAGCCGTATCCCTACATCACAAGGAATCTGAGGTATGGTCCCTGTAAAACAAACACCAATGCCATTGGACCCTTGTACCAACAACGTACCACCCATGGTACAATAAATGTGTCACAATAATTAAACATGAATCGTCCGCACAAGGAGGTCAATCATTGGAACAATTTAACTTTGCCTGGTGTGTTTGGAGGCTATTTTAAATGCCAGTACGTGTATATGAATGACACTGTGTTCAAACTTTGATGTCGTGCGAGGTAGAAAACTGTTCATGAATTCTATTGGCTGATTACGGTATTTGTTAATGTATGCATTATCATTTTTCACCGGAATACACACACGCCATCTACCGACAACACCTAAGGTAACCACTGATGTCAAATCCTGTGACTGCTTCAAACGTGTGACACCGGCACACCACATGACCTTCAATATCCTCGGGGACCTTTAATAAGGGAGCTTAGGGACACAATATACAAACAGTCTAGGAATAAGGACAGAGACACAGAAAAGTACCAAAGAAATAGAAATGTGGTCCCCAATCCACTTGAAGTAGACGTTGAAACTGACATCAAACGGGAATATTAGCACATTAATTGCATTTTTGTCACTTGTTATATAAAATATTTTTGAAATAAATAACACACTCTACAGCCCAACATCATATCCAGACGACATCCACTGTAACCTGGTAACAGTTTGACCGTCTGCTAGGATCACTGGTGTCGCTAAGAACGCCATTTGTGACGTCATTTGTCCGTGCATAAGGTGGCACACTATTATGTATATAATTCTCTGTTGGTGTGTTTTCCACCTTAGGAGGCACTGGATATATATATTCATAAGCTGGCGGGCTTAGGTCTTTTTGTGTATCGTCCTCCTCGTAAGGCGGTAGATGAACTCCAAAAGGTAGTTCGAATGTGTCTATGTTATACTCTCGCGCTCTACACCTTCGATGGTGACGTCTGGTTCTCTGAAAGGAAATGGACACCATTATAGTGTGAGGAATGTATTACAAAGGTTAACTGGTGTCATTAAGTGTCAAACTGGATTTCCACTGATGTCAAAGTTTTAAAATGTTAGAGAGTGAGGTAACAGTCAGTAAATAATAATATAGTTGAAAAGTGATATTGGGATTTCAGTTGACCCTTGACATTTAGCAATTTTGGAAGGCAAATACAAAATGTAACATTTTCCCTGGAAATTGAATGGACAAAACATCTGTCAAATAGCATGTTCCTTACACCAAAAGGCAAATGTACTTTTGAGAAGTTAAAAATGTTTTCTCGTTGGTCTACTGAAAGCCTCATGTCAGATCTAGTAATGTTACAAATGAATGAAACGTCATTGAATCGCTAAATATTTCTTCCAAGAAAGCATTAACAATTTGAAAGATATAAAAAAAACTTTCCAAAAATTATTTTATTTTAAAAGCTTTTAAGTTGTCATTGATCTCTAAACATGTTTTTGGCAGAACTCAATGATGGTATTTCGGCCCTCCTGAACTGTTAACTCGGGGGTTTTACTTACTGGTTTATATAAATACTCGTACGTTCCTCGACCCTCAGCCAATTCCTGATACTGTGATACAACACAGGCAAAACAGTAACACTGCAAGGAAAAAACACAGAATGGTTAGAATACAAGGTCATACCTGTGGCTTAGATTCACAGTAATTCAATAGTAACATCACAGTGTTACATAGGTCAACACTCTGGGAGGAAACTCAACACAGCTAGCGAGATGTCAATACCGGGCTAACTGAGTGTTCAACTCCATGTATGGAGTTATATAACCTTAATCACATTTCAGCCTATCTGGCCTTATGTACCAATCGACAGAATCACAACACAAGACCAACTTCACCAACAATATATTCACTAGAATAATGTCGACATACATATTTGTGAGAGTACGGTCCACATTTATGCTTTACATTTCCCTATCCTAATAATGATGTTAAATATGTTAATGTAGGTTTACTTACATTGGCTATTAATTTAAAACAGTAGAAAAACACCCAGACAATCTCCCAGGCTTGTAATGTCTGGAACAAAAGGAATGTTTATTAGTAAATGATATATGTAAAATATGTGACAATGGTTTAAATGTTTTAGAAAAATACAAAGGTGTTATTTAAAAACACACACATACACAAATATATAGTGTTTTAAGAAAATTTGTCGTTTTGTCTTTTCTTTTTCCTACAACTTGTAAGCAATTGGGAAGAGAGCTTGTACAAGAGAGATAACTCGTACAGGAGTTAATGATGAGACAACTCATGCATACTTACTTTTTCCCGCTCCATGTGAACAGTGGTAAGTAAAGCTATTGCACCAGTTTCGTACAAAACATTCAACACTAGAACGTAAACCCAGGGTAGCAGTAGATATCTCTTGTCCTGGGAAACAACAACAACAATCATTAGTCTATATACATCCAAATATTTTTTATGAATCGTTTAATCGTCAAATAAAACCAACACTGGTTACTGTAGCCCGAGTTTCCTCTGGCCCTGACACCAGACTTTTAACATTTTATCTATCTGTCAAAATGGTCTGGTGTCATGGCCAGAGGAAAGTTGGGCTATTGTTGCTGCAGTTTTATAACTCATGTTTTGCGGATATGATATGCCATACTTACAAGTTGTACTCCCGGGATGAGGACGAGGGATGCTGTTATCATGAGACCGTACAGCACAAATCCGGCGTACACAATGCCCTTGTATTCTGTAGAAAATAAAACAATAAGATATATTGAAATATAGTTTGTCAGATATACGTGGCTGTATGTATTCATTATAAATGCCAACGGAAAGCAGTTCAATGCGTATATGGAATGTTTCTGAATATTTAATATCAATGAAAACTAAAGCCGCAGAATGCTACCTTTAGCTTTAATTTAAATTTTCAATATATAAAACTTGCATCTTTACGCAAAGATGGCGGAATTGAGGAGCTATATTGATTGGGTAAAATGCCTTTATGATTGGATACATTACAACCCAATGCATCTTAAGTTAACATTCGATGGATCAATTAAAGTTGGCATTTTATTTACTCGTTTTATAGCTTAATTTACACGCCCGATTAAAAATTAAATGCCTATAAAACTCCTGTGACCAAAGTTGACCAGCGCGCACCTGACTTGTCAAAGCTTGGTCGGCATCCTTTGTTCAATCAAAGAAAACTGGGGTTATTTAATTGTGTTTACATTCCATCGGTGTGACCCATGCTGAGGAATTTAATGTCGGTTTATAGAACACCTGACACTGTGCGCTACACTGGAGTCATTATATAGGGATTGCATGATTAATACTATTAGTCTGTCTAGAGCGTGTGATAAAACTCTGTACACGACCGGACAAAACGATAGTATTAAAATTCTACTTTATATACATGTACAGTAATCTGTTCGCATGCATCTTAGCAAGGCTTTACGGGCAGACAATTAACAAAGAAGTGCCGTCCTCAAGTAAAGGATGTGAAACCAAGGAGTTTAGACTTGGCCACGAACTACATCATTGATGTAGTGTTCAGTCAAAACGGCTCCCTTTCCTTTATCATATAGATGTATCAAAGGATCAATGAAATGTGATATTCGTTCAATATTTTTCGTACCAAAGTAAACCCATCCTATAGCTATGCTTCTACTTATATATGTTTTCTTTTACTATTGTTATTAGTACCAGATACGTAATTACTGGGATGTTTACGTCCCCGTTAGTTGGTTATGTATGTAACTGTTCCAGATCACGTGGCAATATGTACAACCTGAGTCTGGCGACCACGAGTCATGAAGCATTAATGATTAACCTTTTTACTGCACATTAAAGGAAATAAGTGTTTTCTCGTCAATACAGTCAAACAACGATGAATCTTACGGTCATGTCATATAAAAAGGACATCCGGCCTTTCTCAAAAAGTCGAATGAGAATTGCCATTTTTTTGTTTCCTTTTTTTAAACTTCTAAGTGTGAAGTAGCTGTCCATCATCCCTTTAACGCTACCTTATAACCCGAGTTTCGATAATTCGAACGCCGTTACTCAACGCCTTGCGCTGGCCATTAAAGCGTATGGTAATTATTGTCAAAACCAATAAAAGTAACCAATAAACAGTGATAAGTCTTACTGTAGCTTATATGTAATGTTATATACAGGTAAAACTTCAAAGGATACCGCGGATAATTTTACCTGTAACCTCGCAGTGAACCCAAAAGATGGGTTGTTTGATTACCATTAGCCAGGCCGAGTCTACAATTACCGCTTTGTATAGATGGTCACACGATCGGTTTTCTACTCATGATCTAAGTTCACACGCAAGAATGTTTGAACTAGATTTAGAACATATTTAATGATAGTTTATGTTCGTGAAGAAACTGCAGGATTTGTGTATTGTGTTAAATGCTTGTAATATTAATCAAACAGTACCCCCGGACATAAACAATGGAAGTTTTTAATTATCTGGAGACGGTTCAATACTTCAAACATCATTGACTGGCTTTACGAATGATGTAGCAATGTTCCAAAAGGGGAAATTTAAATTAAGGAAAACATAGTACATGTAGTTAAATTTCTTTAGATTCAATCCAATATTTATTTTGCCCATTTCAATTACACAGTGACCTTCGAAGCAAATAACAATACAACATACGTAGAAAAAATACTGGATTCAGCCCGTATATGCCATTTGTTATATTAACAATTAGCTCCAAACATGTTTGGCGCAAATATGTCAATATTCTTTTCAACAAACGATATGTACAGTCTGCATATATCATGTATGCGATATAGTTTAGAGTGTATGCCTAAATTTCCATATGTAAGATAATCTGTGGTGCATTGCTCTGCTGTGGCAGCCTCGTTTATGTTTGACCAGGTAGTAGTCTATATAGGAGTACGACATGCCTTGATGACAGCTGCACGAATCTACAGGTAGGGCTCATCACAGGTGTGTTGGAGAGAAGAAGGAATAGCCTGCCAAGTCGTCAATTTACAGTGTGAAGGGGTTTTTCTTATCACAGCTACAAACTCGTGCTGAAGGAAAATTGCCAGCACACGACGATTTGTGTTCCCGGGTTTGCTGCGGGGCTGTTGGTCTTCAATGAAAGTGGCTTGTTAACGTCCCAACCCGATTTTAGGTGAAATTAACGACCGGACATGAATGTGGGCGTGTCAACACGATGACGGACAGATGAGAGCTTTAAATCTATGAAAAGGTTCAAGGGCTAGTGAACTAAAGGACTAGACATTATATTAGGGTTGTAGGACCATAAACGTAGAAAGGATAATATGCTCAGGTGTGACCAAAGCACAAAACTGATTTTCAATGGTACTTAAAATAAATTCTGATTTGTGCTCGTCAAGGGAAGTCTACGATATTAGAAGTCGCCCCAAATACTCCACATGTCAATTGAAACAAATTTAACTCGAATAAAGGGGAAATCGATCAAGTGAGGGTGGTTATCGGCAATTAATTTGTGAAATGTTTGCCAAGAAACACATTTACTATATTGGCCGAGTAAAAACGAATGAAATGGGAAAATTCCTACTACTTTCCGCTAATGCATATGGACTTCTCAAATATTAAACAAAATATGTGAGTAATGCACTATATTCATAAATTATATTCATACAACATTCGATATTTATAATAAATACTCAATATTTATTTAAAGTTAACCATAGTTGACATCTTGCACTAACATATTTTTGTGGCCGAGTGTAAAATAATAGATTGATTGATTGATTGGTTTTACGTCCGCTTAAAAAAAAAGAGTAAAATGATAATCATAAATCCAATTATATAGTAAAGGTCCACATCACGTGCCGTACCTGGAGAGTCTTGTATGAGCTGATATCCCACGTACCGGAACAGGTAAAATACCAAACAGATCAGGGATATCACCTGTGAAATACCAAAAAAAAGTACACATGTATTAAAAAATCTTGGTCAATAAACAGGTGAAAGGGTAAAAAACTCAAGCTACATTTCATTCACGATTAACAAACATCAAAGCCGTTCTACTTCCGGTTAATAAGCATACTACTATTACACATCACTGCCAATATTCAGCGTCACAGGTGCGATGACGCACATTTTCACTTTCGACAACATTTATTTTCTAATATGTCTATACCAGATAATATAGGGTAGAAAAGGAGGCTTGGCCATGTGTTGTAAAGACGAACACGTGAACATGTAAAGGAGACTCTATAGCATGCCTACACTCTCAAGCACAAAGAAGCTGACTTTAATATATTCATTTAAGATTTGCTTGTTTTCAACGGAAAAGTAAGGATAATGTGTCTGCTGAACACGTGTCTGTCCCAATTATATAGTAACGGTCTAACATATTCTAAACCAACGTATGTCGTGGTTTACTACCCAAGCCTACAGTCAGCGGCGAGTCACTCGTGCCCAAGAGATAGGGCCATCTGATAAATTACATACTTCGGTATTCAGTGTAAAATACACAAATGAAACACTTTTTTGTTCGAGACGTAAACGCATGAATATTTAAAAAATGTTGAAACGATTTACAAATTGCCTGTCGATGACTTTTAATCAGGAACATTAAAATGGAATTAGTCTATACAACCCTCTGTTAAATGACTCTATATTGGTATTGTAGGCTTACGTTCTCTGTAAAACGACACTTTAACCGTGTCTTTGGGAGTGGACGATTGTGGTAGTCATATTTGGGGTAGGGTTCATCAGTCAACGAGTCGTAAGGTAAATAATTTTGTCCTAATAACCTTAAATTGAGCATTGCCATATCACCATGCAGTCTACAGATAATTGAGATAATTTATGCTAAATACCTACACATGTATTTTCAGTCAGGAATTTTAACAATTTAAAAACACCATGGGAGTTAAATGCTTTTTGTCGCCAATTGTTGTTCTTCATATTTGTGTTTTGACTGGCAGTTTGCAGTACGTTCGTGACCAGAATTGCTGCAATTATCAGGTCAATTAAGTACGGCGTGAGAATTTAACCATATATCCTATTTACATTAATCTCGCGTGAATTTTTTAATACGAATGAAATATGCCGCCTCGAAATGAAGCTATCCTGTGTATTTTTTTCTCACAGAAAAAGTATCGGCCGAGTGACTTAATCCACGATCGATCATGAGAGTCGGATACAGATTTTAATCCTCGTCATTTGACTTTAAACCGTCACGGGTAACAATCTAGCTGTCACCTGCAGCAGGACATGCTGTGTGAATACCGTACGTGTTTCAACACAAAAACGGTCCTCTCCGCCACTTTCTAGCCCCAAACCCCTCCAAGTGTCAAGTAGTAAGAGGGTCCTTTCTCTGTGATTAAAAGTACTCGGGGTCGCGACCCCACATTAATTAGACGACAGTGAGAAGATTATATTTGCAATTCTTGACAAAGAGGACAAATCAAGTCTTCAGTAAACCCTCGAACACCACTCGACGGTTCCCGAGTGGAACATCCATTTACGGTTAGACCTTCACAACAGGTATTGAAAGACCAACGACAAGTATAAGTCCGCAGTCATCCATTTTCTTCATCGCGAAGACAATAAATGATACAGGTTTCCCTAGAGCTGGACACTGCTGTGCCCAAGTATTTATGTAAATGTTGGTGTTAATGCCGATTTTCGTCTGTCGTATAGCTTATATGCGACATCTTGTATTCACCTTTTGACTTCTTCCAGCATAGTGTCAAAGTATGAGATTTTACCTGTGTCAATATCCCCAAATAATGCCGGAGAGAAATCCCTATGACCGTATACAGATAAACCAATGTGATAAACGTGATGTCAATAACCAAGAGTTAATATAAAACCATATAAACGTATATATGTTTTACTTTGGCAGGTTGATACACATGATGAGCATGGTGTTGATAGGATAGAGCGTGGAAGGCTGAGCCCGCATTATATTGATATATTAAAATGCAATAACGCATCATTTAGGAGCCATGACAGAAACCTTAAATTGCTTGTTAGGCGTCGTTCATTTCACAGCCAGGACTTTTCATAACAATTTAATGACATCGTATTATGGTTGCCAAGTCCCGGAAGGGAGGGGGCTATCCTTTTTATTATTGTTTTTTATGTTTAAACTGCCTTAGGACTGCAGTCATGATTTAAAGTGACATTCCATACATTTTACTCATGGTATCAAGGTAGGTCAATACTTCCTCGTATAACTGAAAGTATTGTTTGAAAAAGTATATTCGTAATCGTCATTTTCGTTTTCCAATATTCAACAAATTTAACAGCAACACTAATACGCAATACCGATGTAAGGATAATGAACGCCAATTAGGAGAAATCGATGGAAAGTGACAAACTATTTTCCACACGGAAAAAAGCGTTCTGGCCTAGCTTCGAATATGAGCGTTCACTGGTCACGAACATGCGGGTCATTGGAAACCCAAGACGGGGACCATTGTCCATAACGTGAGACGTATCAGCAGAATCAGTAAGGGCATTCACTGATGTTTGCTGGAAACCCATTTCACCACATCAAACGCTGTGAACGAATAAATTCATTCATATCGGAGTCTGTTATATTCCATTAGCCGGATGTCAATAGAAAATTTACTACGTACAGATCTGTTCAAATACCTTTAAATAAAAATGTTTAAGATAATTTTAGCAGATACTGAATGTTCCTTTCATTGTATCAAGTCCAGGGGATTTTCAAGGCTTAAGGTAGGAATCTCAGCCGTCGACAAAACGTTGGTTCAATAAAAGGGCTAAAACCGCCAGGTAAATAAATTCATAAGCTATGAAGTTATAACTCGGGGTGGGTTTAGGACGACCAGAAACAACCCTCTTAACGATTACACAACTGACCGTTCCAGACCATTGTTGACCAAAGGAATCCAATGTATAAGATATGGTAAGAATTTGACGGCTTTATCGGACGTACACTAATTAGCTGTAAGGCAGGTTTATCTACACGTGTTGTTTGTAGATCACAGGTACGATCTGTTGTATTTACGATTTAGTTTTTAAACTTTGCTGTCAAAAGAAATCGTTCGGTCACCGAATAAGGACACGGACAAGTTATATATATACACAACCGGTTCATGTACGATAGTTCAACTGCTCTAAAATGTCGTCTATCCACTTTCAAAATATTGAACTGATAAATAGTCAAACAATAGTATAGAGTATTGCAGGTTTTTTCCATTACATAATATCTACATTTGGGTAAATCAACAAGGTCGACTTAACCTCGTGTCAAAATGAACAGGTACCCGTTATCGGTGTTTTTTCCGTTATAGAATCTTGTCATTAACCCATGGAAAGACTTGTATTACATAAGATATGTTGGATGTTATTCTGTACACAATACCTACTGTTTAACATTAATGTCAAGTAAAACTGAAATATCAACAGACGTTTATCCGGGATCATAGACGTATATACCGGCTTTATACGTCGCTATACCAACCCGTGGGGATCAGATATAATGGTCTCGTTGTGCCATCTTTATGGTCTCATTCTGGCATCATTTTGATATTTATTTAAGGAATGATTTTTATTTTTTCAACATTTATGAGGTCATAACAACAATGGGTTTATGGACATATTGAATGAATCGCGTTAGCGATTCATGTAAAATATGTCCAAAAACCCATTGTTGTTATGACCTCATAAATGTTGAAAAAATAAATATCATTCCTTATATTTACATTGACGAATCCTTTCAGTGGATCGATATAACAACGAATAAAACAAATAAACAGGGTTTGTTCCTGCTTATACACGGGTGCAACGCAGTGGCGAGAACAGTGTTTTTTCGCGGGGAAATGTGACACTATCGTGAGAGATCTTAGCAACCGTCAACAACAATAACACAACAAAATGTAGTTCCATATTCAATGTTTATTTGTAGCACAGGACACGTGAATACGTGGATATTTCACAAAGCACAGTTCAATAATATTTTAAGATGTAAGAATTAAGCATCTAGGTCGGTCGTTCCGAGTGAGTAGTTTTTGTAGTGTATTACTACGCAGTGTGATCAGGTTACTATCAGTTTCCACGTGCTGAGATTCTATGAACACCTGTGTTATGCATTTATGAATGTAATTTTTGTCAATGGGTCTAAGCATACAGAATGTAAATATTTAATAATACACGTACAATCCAACTTCTGATGGAAGTGCACAAATAACACTTTGTTAACCGCCACTAATGGTCTGGAAGATGATTACTGTTAATTTATTGCAGACTTTGACATGGAGCGGTTTCACTTGGTTGACCCACGAAACCAAACACCAAAGAGAATGACTCAATATCCAGACACGTGCCAAGGCATCAAAGGAAATGCAATCGGCCTAACTATGGGGTTGTTTTATTTAATTACAGGTGTTCGACCTGTCACGTGACAGGCCACGGCCCGGTGACTGTAATAGTCAGGTGTTTTAGGGGCTAACGACGGTAGATTGATGGCCATTATAGTGACTTTTTCACCCGACATTGATACTCTTTATTCTCGTTATCTCTACGTCTTGAATTAAAGTATTCCAAATACCAAAAATGTACCTTCCGTCTTAGTGTTAGTCATAAATGTGTGGGGTTCCAGTGTATGCCTCAGCAACCCCGTCGGACACATGTAAAGGGACCAACACAATGCCATACATGTGTTGATGTAGATAACAAATTTATCGAAAAACAATTCTTGTGTAGAAGCTGAACTCAACATCGTTTCGTCTGTTAATAAAGTGGGAGTCATGGTTTCTTTGTGAGTCACAAGACCGAAACGTAAGGAGACTAATTCAAATTTCGATTACTTTATGTTTATCAATATTTGCTTACTTATATCGCATTTGAGTCGGCTTAGACCGTGCAACATTCTTCATGTAAGTGTCGTCAATATCCACCCACAAAGTACAACAGGTATACAGAGA